AGATGAGGAACAACTGTTCACTGAGTGTGATAACTGGAGAACTAAGGCTCTGCTAAGGTTTCGTAGTTTAGGATATAGGATTTGGCTTGATCAGTTGATGGCCGTGACTTTGGACAAGAGAAAAAATGGCCTCAGACTCTTGGATGTGTGCAGCATCGATTGTCATAATGTGTGAGATGGGCTGGAATTATCCCAGACTGAGGTTGCTAGTTGCTATAAATGGGTTCGTTGTCTCCTCACATTTGTGGTCTTGTTGCAGCAATAGCAATGTCAGAACAGGAGTCCTGAAAGTGGGTTAAGGGGCAGAAGAGAAGTTGGGTGGGGTAAGGAGAGTGGGTGGAGAGGACGATGGAAGTGTGGGTGAGCCATTTTGAATGATCCAGTGAGGCAACATGAGAGGGTGCAAGACACAATGCAAAAAATTCTGTAACTGCGCTGTTTTCTCTCTGTTCATCACTCTGAGGTGGAGCATAGCTCTGAGTCTCTTCATGACTCTGTGCTTATTGCTATTAGGGGAATTACTTTGGAGGCAGGTGCTGCTGTTCTGAGTAAACACTGTATTGCTGCTATAGAAGTGTGATGATACCAACAAAAAGAGCAGGCCAGGTGTCCAGCCTGTTCTGCCATGGTTTTGCAGAGTCAGGCCATATGGGGGGTTAATAAAGTGTCAGGCATCATTATAGACTCTGCCACGGTTCCCTCTGGAGTACGTGCTGTGGCTGGTGCAGCTTCAAGCAGAGGCAGGCTGCCTGAGAGGTGGTGGGGAGGTTACTGCAAGAGCCATCAGTCATTGGGTTTGCCTCCCAGGGGGCTCTGATGGCACATGAGTCATGACACCAGTCCCATGTGGTGGATGACATACAGATCACAGTGTTGAGTCAGAATGGGAGTGGTAAGATGGTGAGGGGAGGAGGCTTCCATGTACACTGCCTTCCAAAAGACCTGCCTCTTGCTTCCATATACAACCCTGTATAAATTTATTGCCTCTAGGATCTAGCGTCAAAGCTTGAGCATTCTCTAAAAAAATCAAGTTACACTTATGGATATAGACCTCTGGATCCGATGATGTTCTGTTCCAGTTTGTGTAACACTTAGAGCACCAGTTATGAACAAAAGTGGAAGGCTGGTATTTGGAACACTGTATGCATAAAGATACGACATTTTCAATTATAATTTTCTGTTGGTGGAAAAGAAAAAAGAGGAAAGATATTAATCAGTTTACCACAGAGATCGTTTTTAAACAGGCTTACAAATATAGCTCACTGTAGAAACATACCGTATTATCTGTAATATTTTAAGAGAACTCAAGATAGCATTTGTGAGGTTATTGTCCGATTGAGTGATGCTCAGTCAGTAGACCAAATTTAAGAGTTTTCTTCTGTAAAAGTTGTAGTAGGTGTGTTTGTGTCAGCTTAGTCTTTTCTCATGCAAGACTCAGTTGCTGGTTTGTTCACCCTGTTGTCAATTTTAATAATAATTAAGTCCAATTTTTAAAAAAATTGTAGGTAAAAAGTATTTAGCCAGTTCTCTGCATAGCTTAGGTCAAGACACCCTGTAGCTGACATCACTATTCAATAGCATTTCTCTTTCGGAGATATTATTGTATAGTTTCAAACCAAATTGAAGCTAATCTCTTGCCTTTTCAATCCTTAGAGCTATTTTGTCTTTTCCAATATATTTGGCTGAATTCCTGAACAGTTGTCAGGCTATGACACTTTAGTAAATGAACTTGACTAATATGCCTGTAAATTGTCAGTGGTTGTTTTTGATTTATTTCTTTTTTAGCATA